TTTCTTCCAATACTACAGTCTTTAGGAATTAGCAATTCTTGCCTTCTTGAGCTGCTTATTTACTTCTAAATACATAAGTTTATTTTGAAGGGGGAGTTTTCTGAAAGCCTTGATGGCATTTCATAACAAAAGTCAGGCCTGGGAGTAAGCTAAGAAAGGAAGACAAAGCAAAAGATAAATTCAAGGCATCTGTGTATTCAGTACCACCAGATATACAGAAAAATTATACAGAATATTCTAAGACAGATGCGATAGTGTGGTCGGACAGATTCCTAGAAACCCAGACCCTGGGCACCACTGATCTAAAAACACATCACTAATTTGGTTCTGTTCAACATGTTATAGCTTAAATGCCTCTCCCAGTGATTACTGGCATTATACTGCAAACGTTCTATACAAAGGAGACTTCTTGTCATATTAAACCTTAAATTTTAGCATGGACATCTTAATATTCAAAAGTATAATGACTTCTGGAGAAAGAGCAGAACCATTATGAAGCAACCCATATCCCCAGCAGATTCTGCTAGGGTACCTCGCAAAGAACCTTCTATTTAATAGTACAGTGTAATTACCGGTATATGTTGGTGTCTGCATATATTCTCAAATGCCTGTGCTTAAAAAGGAACATCATTATGTCTGTGTTGTTGCCAAGTCTAAAAGCCAGATGGACAGACTGCTGACAGCAGAAACTCACTGCTGGAACCAAGCAATCAGGACCATAATCTTCTGGCAAAAGCAGCTACATATGTTGTACTTCTGATGTTTATTTGGTGGCATGACTGAGACAATAGTAAAAAGCATTGTCATGGGATAATTGGTGTTGAAAGTGGCTCTATGGATGCATCAGTGCAACTATTAAGGATGGACAGAAAACATTTGCCAAACTCACAGAATGAACTTTAATGAAGCTATGCGGTAGAAAGCAGTCTTTTAAGAGGAGACTGGAAAGGCCAGATGTAATACATGAAAAGCCACATTCTACACAGATGCATTAAAGTTGCATATAGTACATCAAGTTTTTGTACTACTCACTATTTTGAAGTACTATAGAGGCAAATTAATTTTCCATATATTATCACGCCTAGTCTTCTAGAATACACCTTAGGTCACTCTTGCACAATCTTCCAAAAAGAACTGAGATCTGAGGCCTTTATTTAGTGCTGATAATCAAATATTCAGGAATTCATTGATTTCTACTTAATCTCATTTAATCTATTGATGCCTTCCAATTAATTGCCAGATTAAATGCTAAATGTATTATTGATAGCAGAACCAAAAGTTTTAATGCTGCCTCTTCCCTGGGCCAGATTTAAAAGTGGAACTGTCATGTGTTTCTTCTTCTGAGAACAACAGAGCAAATTGCAATTATGAAGCTGCATCCTGTGGCCAAACTTAGGGTCCAATCATACAGCTACAACCAAAAAATTCAAGTCACAGCTATCATATGTAAGTATTTAATCTGTGTCACTCTTGCCAAGTATTCTGTCAATGTTTAGTTCCAGAATACACCTGTACTTTTTCAGTGGTTACTTACTGGAAGCCATATGCTAAGCATATACATAAACTCCAATTACTTGCATGGTTTTGTCATAAGTATCTTTAGGTTTTACATTTGGTTCCCATTTTGCTTCTGTTCCCCCAGAACATTACAACCATCTTTTGGAAGCTTCTGTTAGATATGGACTTGTGGGTCATTGCCCAAGCAGCTTGTAACTAACTCTCTCAAGTTCTGTTTTAGCAGAGCACCTACAATTATTAAACTGTATTTTTCCAAATCTTCCTATTACTGCTTTAGTCTACTGCTACAGTATCTGCATTGTAACAAGAAAGACACTCTCCTTAAAGTGTTCCTTAAAGTTATGAGATATCCTGACAACTAGAATATACAGGCTTAACTCTATCCTTTCTTGCAACTTCCATAGTGTTCAATAAATTGTACATTATAGAGGTACCTGAGCTAGTGACAGCATAAGAACTAATATGGCAGCAGAGGAATTCACATACTGTATATGAGATCCAGAGACACTAGCTCCACTCCCAGAGGCAGCAGAGCTGTAATAACACAGTGTTGTTTGTGGGCTAATTATGCTTGCATTTCAGAAGACTAATTAGTTTGGGCAGAGCCCTATGCTAAGTTTGGTATCTTTGCACAGTCATGTACTTCATGGATATATCTCTTTTCTTCCTCCACCTTCCCACACACATTTGCCTGAATTAAGACACGAGATACTGATCGTTTTACCGGTAGCCAAAATCCCCATATGGTAGAGAATTCTGCTCCAAGACACAACACTACTCTACAAAGAAACAGAAGCAATATAACAATTATAAAAATCTCATGGTCTGCAAAAAGTCCAAAACAGGACTGCTGTTACAAATCAGTAGGAGTTACAAGCTTAGCCTGACTAAGAAAGCATTAAAAACAGCTATTATGGTAGAAACTACTTAAAACTAGTATAAAACAGGATTGCTGTTACAAAACAGTAGGAGTTAACAAGCTTAGCCTGACTAAGAAAGCATTAAAAACAGCTATTATGGTAGAAACTACTTAAAACTAGTATCTAGTTTTCTAACAGCATTAATTTACTCATACTAATGATGCCATATATTATCCCATCTGCCACAAATGCTGATAATCTTTAATGAAAACTCACTCGGGTTTGTTACAGAGTATACACGGGATGGATATCTGGTTGAAATTGTCCAAAATCTTCGCATTAATTAGAAAAATGAAGTAATGCCAGTAAAAATAGGAAAAAAGGTATCCACTGAACAGCCAAACTGATCTTGCCAAACCAGTTATTAAATATAAGGTAATGCATATTCTACACTTTTTTACATGTTTGAAATCTGATTTCTCAAGTGTCTGAAACTATCCATACAGGGTTTTTCTGCTCTTTTACCTTTTTCCTTTTCTTTCAACCAATAAAGCTTGTTCTAAGAGAACAGGGAATTAACCAAAGAAATCTGAGACCCAAAGTCAACTTCAATTACTTTCCTATTTGCTGCAAAAAATCATTGAGTGAGACAGCACAACCAATGAAGCCCAGTCAATTTTTGTTGGAAAGTTCCCCACAAAACGACACTTAAAGAGGTTGAGTTTTGGGACTACTGGCAAGTTCTATTCCATTTAATACTAGTGTCAAACAAACACTTTTCTACCTGCTTCCCTTCTCAATGGTACAACAGAGAGCCTCAAGATAGATGCGCTTAAGAAAACAGTAACAACTTTAATTATGAGGAAAATTACTTTTGGTTTGAAATCAAACAGAAACAGGGGAACTGAGAACAGGGATTTGCAGTTCTGTTAGACTAAGGGGTCAACTGCAATTTCTCCCACGCGTAGCTTAAGCTGATGACGTATGACAAAAAGTAATGTTGCCAAATGTTGCCTTCACATAGCTGTACTACTTAAATTTCACTAAACCCCCACTATCATTTTTAATGCTGCTCAATAACATTTAATTGCATTTAAATAGGAAGTAAATGGTCCAGTACAGCAAAGAGTCAATTACATTTTTTAATTATTTTACACATGTATTCTTGAACATTCTACAAATTAAGTCAAATGAGTAATACTGATTTGAATTTAAACACATTTGATGGCAGTTCACATTAGAGAGGACCAGAGAAGACCACCACTGAGGTTAAGGTGTCCAGTCTTTTTCCTTCTAAATTGGAAGGCTTTATCTTCCTATTAATTTTATTTAATGCATCACAAATAATATTAAGTTATACTAATCCATCAGTAATTATTACTATTGTTTCCTCTAATCTTTGCACGTAACAGACCAAACAAATCTAAGATTTTCTTTGAGTTACCCCAAGAAGGTTGCAACTGATGAACCAACTCAGTATTTGTTTTAATGCAACCTCTGCAATCTCAAAATGAAAGGCTATTTCTGGAAATCCAATTCAAAACAAAAATCATCACTTTTTTAATTAAAGCAACAGATCATCTAAATTAATACAATTTTATTCATCCCACTGAAGTAATTTGTATTGGTGAAAGTTTCATCACTACACATTTGCAATTACAATGTTAAAAATTCTTTAATGAATTGTCATTGCAAACAGAGTTGCTGATCAGCAGCAGTTAGCTAAGCACTGGGTACCAATGCTGCCTGAGAACTAGAGCATCAATGTTGCATCTTCTGGAAGGAGAATAAATATCTTCTCAATGGAAGGAGTTGCCTTCAACAGATCCAACTCAATTAATTAAATATACTGAAACTTAAAATTAAAGATACACCTCAGTTGATCCTTTTAATCTTTTTACAGCCTTAAAAATCTGCTATTTATGAAACATTAAAGAGTGCAATGTTTAGAAAAAATGTATGTTATTTGCAAATAATACCACCTTTTTAAAAGCCATTTTTAGGTTCAAAACATTTTTTTTCCTTCCAACCTATTTACAGAAAGTCCTCTTGCAAAACAAAAAAGGCTAATGCTAACTGAATTCAATTAGAACGCAACAATAAACTGTTGCATAAGAATTGTAGATGCAGATTTTCATTAAAACCTATAATCTGAATAAATGTATGCTCATCTATAGAACTACTTAAATGAGAGATAGTGCACATTTGGTTAGCAAAATGCAGTGCTTAATTTAACAAAGAGTTGATTTGCAGTTGAAAGAATCATAATAATTAGTAATCAAACAGAATTAGCCTCTCTTCTGGAAAGCAATTAGAGGAAAAAAATACAAGGCAAGATTAAAAACAAGTCAGAACATATGTCACACTAGCTTGTGTCAATCCACCTTTGTACAGTTTAAAATCTCAACATACTAGCAATTTGCCTTAAATCTTCAACAGAGAGAAAACAACTATTTTAATTTTTCAAAGGTGATTAAATGCACAAGTTACTCAGCAGAGAGCCATATATGTCTTAGCACATTTGAACTCCACATGTGTTTGGAACAGAACCATATTGAGTTCTTTAAGGTTTATGTTTCACGTTCGGTTTTGGTTATTCAAATAATGTGCATTACACCGGCATCAGTTCACAGTAAGTTTATTTTATGTGAAGAAAAGCTTTGCCATTAATGAAAAATTTCAGTAGAAAACAGTACCTCCTGCTTTCAATCTAGATTACTCAAAAGTAGAAGCTTGTATTAGTGAAAAGTTCAGTAGAAACAAATCTGTAGGAAACACGTTCTTGGCACATGAAGTAAAAGCTTTAAACACATTAAGTTTGAATAGAGAATTTACCATGCAACCATGCTGGCAGAAAAGCCAGTTTGTAATGGCTGGTATTTGTCCCTCAAGACAATAACATGGAAGACACTTAAACCTGCTTATATAACATTAATTGTATATAAATATGGTGTCACCATAATTGACAGTCTTTATTCAGGCCAACCATTTAGTTTAGCAGTTCTAAATAAGTAATAGGCACTTTGCCTTTCTGATTTCCCCTTTCACCCATCAGCCAGTCTGAATCCATGCCAGGGATACTGTACACTGTTATCACCTAAAAAAACAGAAACACATTATTATAACCTTTCCTTCCCAGAAAAAAAAACAAAAAACCAACTATAGTCTACCTTCCTGTGATTTCCAAGATCTTAGAACTGAGATTAACCAAGATAAACAGAGCACTCAATATGAGCACCCATGGAACACAATCTAGTGCTCACAAAAATTATTTCACTGATACATGGAAAAGAATTAGATATAGTAACATATTTTAAAGTCCTTTTTTTTCCTGATGAAATTCTATTCATTACTGTTTCTTTTGTATTATATTTATTTATAAATATTGTATATCACCATCAATAGGCAATCTAAAAGAAAGTTCACTGGATCATCAAGTACATGACTGAAAGACAGATGGTGTTGATGTGCTACATCTTACACAGAAAATCTTAGGCCACAGATTCTAAGTCACTGTCTAGATAAGAAAAAAGTAAAATAGAAATTTTTAAGTAACATGTGTTTAAAAAACAAAAATGTCTGAAAACTCTTTTGTGGATGCTCTTCTTCAGGGTTAAACTACAGTCACATTACTAGGTGAAGCTCTGCTCCAGCATCCTGCTTCCCTGCATATCTCTGCTTGCTTCGTATAGACTCTGTGACTTAAGAGTGCAATTGAATTGGAACAGGAATAAACACAGCACAACCACCACCATCAAAACAAGAAGTGGTTGTATTTTCATATTCTTCCCAAATTGCAATATTTAATATTTGAAAGACTAATTGTTTTGATAACAGTACTAAAGGCGTGGTAAAAAGACGACAGCAGAATTTCATCTTGATTGTCCATCAAATGTTCTTGCAAGCCTAGCTGATGTAACAAATGTTAACTCTCACTACAGAATATTAGGGTATATAGGTGCAGGACAATGCTCTAGGAGCACTATTGAAGTTTAATTTAAAAAATCGACTACACACATTCCTTGATGCAGCACATCTTAACTGGCTAGTCACAAACATTCTGATTTTACTTTTAAATGACCAAGGTACATATAAAACTCTTACCTCATCTGCAAGTAGGGATAATTCACTGCTGTTTGCAGCATCGTAATCATAGAGAACTCTAGCCTTCCTGCTGCCACTTGATGACTTCAGTTCACTGATGCCTGAAGTAACTATTGAATTGCTTACTGAAGGCAATGAAGCAGAGGCTGAGGCCAAGACTGAGGGAGTAGAAACACTCTGCACAGGAGTTGAGGAAGACTGATTATTGTTAGAGAGGAAAGTAGACGGAAAGCTGTGGGAGAAAACAAAACAAAAATATTTATTTCTGAGTGAATCAGTTCTACATGGGGAGTTATACATGCCTCCATGCCTAAATTGTCATTCTTGCTTTTATCAGCTACAGAATAAACACCAGTAGACAGCAGTAATACAATAGCACTGATATTTGTGTAAACCTAAATGAAGATAGTTGTTCCTGATCTGTACTGTAACTCAAACCAATACACTTCGAAAGAAATACTGCCACCTTAAAAAAAACTTGATAATTGCCCCTTAAAAAAAGGAAAAACAGGAAAGCAATGGTGGTCAGACTTAATTCAGACTGTATTTTAACAAACATTTATTTGACAGCTCTGCCAGTAAAAGCAGCCTCCGCCTTCTCCTGCTCATTCCTCAGTTATGTGACTGCACAAAAGATTGTGCTGGTGAACTACATTAATGAAACATAATGCAGGTGAAAAACACGGCCTTCCTCTGAAAGAAGAGCAAAAATCACAACTATTTTTGTAATTTAAGTCAGTTCATTGCTTCAGCTAACTGCATGCTGTAAAACAAAATATTTGCTACACTAAAGATGAACTTATATCAACTTAAGCCCCTCCTTTCTAGGCTGCTCGTTGTTCTGTGCCAGCTGTAGCACTTGCCAGACCCTTCCATGAAATCAATTCAACTTATTAACCTGCCTGAAAAAAGAAAAAAGGTTAAAAAAAAAAAAAGGCAAGACTGTTTCATGTCACTCTTCCCTACATCCTGGGATGCAGTTCCGTGGCAGACTACACTTACTTATTTAGCAGCTGATGTAGTCGCTCTTTGTCCCTTTGCTGCCTTACTTTGTTCCAACACTCATCTGACTCTACCTTAAAAGCAGGTCAATGAAGGTTTTGAAAAGTAGCAGAGCTGATGCCGTACAAAAGGCTCAGCAAGTAGGAGTCAGACAGAGTCAGGATGATGTGGAACTGTGGCTGCATTTCCTTCCACTCTTTTGACCAGCCTACACATCAACTAGTCGGTCAATTCCCACAGGTAACTTTCATCATTAGTCCTTCTACACAGACGCTTTTTCATTAACATCTGGGATATGGACATATTGTCCTCCTCCCTTCTTTTTTTGCCTACTCTTTGGACATAATGAAGATCTAGTCTAGCACTGTGTGTATGACCCTGTCTCAACCCAATACCTTCCCACCTATGCTCAGTTAAGTTCCTGAAGATGCAGTTCAGTGTCAACTTTAACCATCTGAATCAAAATCAGTATATTCCCAAACCTATGTCTGTAGCATTATTGGTGCTCATATAATCATAAGAGGAGCTCTTTTAGGGAGCTGATACAAGTGAAAACTAAATCTATCAATATAGTGTCTAATTTTTGGATTGTGTGGCCATGAACATAGGTGCAATTAAGGCAGCTCAAACCATAGAAACACAGAATGGTTTGGGGTGGAACCCCCCTGCCATGGGCCGGGACAACCTCCCACTAGCCCAGGGTGCTCAAAGCCTCATCCAACCTGGCCTTGAACACCTCCAGGGATGGGGCATCCACAACTTCCCTGGGCAACCTGTTCCAGTGCCTCATCACCCTCACAGGAAATAATTTCTTCCTTATATCTAGTCTAAATCTGCCCTCTTCCAGTTTAAATCCATTACCCCTCGTCCGGTCACTACACACCCTTGTAAAAATCTGAATCAGCTGCAGCAGTACTGCATACAAGTTGACAGTTTCACACTATACTTCATCTGGTAAATTTACACTGCCACCGAACAGGGAGGACCCGCTCCTCTACACCTTTATTGCGCAAATGTTCATTCTCTGTCACTTGAGTCAGATCTAGTAATCTGTTACTTTTGAGTTGATTCAAAGATCTGATCTAACAAAAATCATCAAGAAGACTGCTAACTTTCCATCAGAACAGCTCATTAAACATGTTCACCTTTCAGTCATACAATTGTTATATCTGACTGAAGGCAAACAGCAGGTGGTGTGAAGGACAGAACTAGCCCATTTACAGTTAGACTGAATCGCATATTAAAAATTGGGTAGATTTTCAAGAGACCGTTGTGAGTTTAGTTAGCTGTTTACTAACATGAAAAGGAGGAAGTCCCACTTCCCCCTCTAGCTTACCTTCACCTCTTTGATCATAAAGAGCTGGTTCAACTTGCCAAGAAACTGCAACTCCACTAAAATTAATTTTTTTTTTCATTTGTCAGATTAGTTTTTCAAACCAATTCACCATGTTTCCTGAGCAAATCAAATGAGCAGAACAAAGAGAGAAAAAGGTAGACCAAACATTTTTGTAGCAATAACTCAGCTGTGCCTCATGATGTGTTTATTACTTGATTAGTTGTCATTCAGAGGGACTTAAATGACAATCAGCTGTTTCTCAATATTGCTAAATTACTGTTTAGTATACTGCTAAACCTGTTCTGTGTTAATACAGTAATTACTTGCAAATCATTCTGTTCAGTTCAAAGGGTCACTGGTTTGTAGAACTAGTGGAAAAGACTTTTCTATAAAGTCTTCAAACTACCCATTTTTTCAAACTGAGGAAGGGAAATAAAATACCACAGGAAGCTGCAAATCAGGAAAAGGATAAGACTTAAGAACACTTTTGGTTTTACTTCCTTGTCATGAAAAACATAAACAGAGATATTTTATAAGGACAGTTATTTAGAACAGACACTACAGTAAACTACAATCTTTCAACACACACGGCTGTATAACCATAAGGCTGATTTGTGAAGAATTAGAATAGGGAAACTTTAGGAAGAATAAGCATGTAGATCTCTTTACATCTCCACCAACCACAAAAAAAGGATTTTGAGCACAAACTTATGTTAGTCAGTTTCTTCTCTTACTTTAAAAATACTAAACCCACAAAACAGTAAAACTAGACAAACTTGCTCATTCCATTGTGAGTGCTTTGGATTACTGATCATAGATACTATGAAGTGTATTTCTCCCTATATACACAAGCACTTAGAAAAAAGATGGGTTTTTTTTTTTCTCAAATTTTTACAGTGTTACTACCTTCCAAGTTGTTTCTGGAGATCCAACATATATTGGTAACATTGTGCATAATAGGCCATCTGAGCTTCAACAAAATCATTCAGACAGCGAAGATGATGTGCCTATAACACAGCAAAGAATTCAAGTTTTTAGTCTGTAAAGTACTATGCTGCATCAGAAAGACGTCTCCTCATCAGGTACTAACACCAATACTGGCACATGGGGATTTATGCTACATAGGCATAGTGCCTGGATTTACCAGGTAAATGGGATATAATGTCATAAAAATTAACCTATTTGAGCACAAAAAATAGGTGCTGTACAAGTATCATGTCATTCACCTATAACGTTTTCACAACAGAATAAATATTTTAGCACATTTTTGTGGTTTCAACTTTCAGTTGATCTGATGAATGGGAAGTTGAGTTTAAAGGATAAAAATGAAAGCTCCTGCATTTTCAAGGTTAAAGGGTGACTACAGTTAAATTCAGTGGATACTAAAATAGAATTCAAAAATAAAAAACCCACTGTTTGATGCTTTAACGCACTGAAATGAAACCTCATAGCCCAAAGTTTCCAAGTAGCTTACTGTAGTTATTTTTAGAGTGCCCCGATTTTGACTTTCCCCCTTTACGCCTTCTGGGTACTCACATGCGTGCTGCTGATTCCTTCCAGCAGAAGTCTGGTAATCTCTGCTTGACGGTCAAATTCACTCTGAGTAATTCGCACTTCCTGTTCAGACTAAAAGTAAAGATGCACATTAGTTATTTGTACAATGCACTCTTACACCTTCCGACTGCAACAGTTCCATTTTATTCAGAGCATTAATGCATTAATCACAAACTCAGGTGTTTTAAATGTGCTTTTTCTTTGCAGATCTTTACTATGCAAAAAGAGTAATTGCATTTTGGGTTCAGAAATGTTGAGGCCTTATATACACAACAAACAGCTTTATCATTGGACACCTACCACATGGAGTCAATGCATGCAAAGGGAAAGCATTTTTCCGCCAGCAGTATTACTCCACCTCTCCCAATAACAAACCAAGTCTTAATTGACTTAACAGTGTTTGCACCAGGGGTTCTGCCATCATGGCAGTGCCAGCCAAGGACAATGTAATTTTTTTTCCATACTTCAAGTTAACAGGGCTCTGATGAAATAATTTAGGGTAAACCTCACATTATTTTTGCCATATAACTGCATGGCAATCAGCCATACATAAGTCTTTGATGGCAAGTTTTAACAGGATATTTCATAAGTTAATGTCTCATACTGTAGCCACCAAGTGTAGTCTGGTAGCCACCAAACTACTACAACTATTTCTGGGGCTTGTAATTGAAGCATATTTAAAAATAAGTAAATCCAAACTATAGCAAATGTTTTAACTTCTATTAAAATCATTGGATTTAAGTTTCATATTTAAATAATTCCAATTATACTTCTTCCTTGTTACGTATTGTTATCAGCAATTTTTTAAAAAGTTAATGTTATAGCAGTTTTAAAGGACTTCCATCTAGCACAAGCCAAAATTACTTTTTTTTTGGGGGGGAAACAAAAAAGACACTACTCAAAACACACAACTACATAAAAATATGTGTTGTAATATCTAAGATTTACTGTTCCAAGACAGAATGTCCTCAGCCTGGAATCTGGATTACCTTGCCTTAATGCTTATATGCATTTAGGACCTTGCTTCTAAAAACAAACACAAATGCCAAAATCTGCATTAAGTCAAAGATGCAGCAGTTACTGTTCTCAACAAGACAGAGTAAGGAAATACATTTTCAAGCAACTTAATGAGGTGATACTGATAAAACATTGGTTTAAAAAGGATTATGTGTGTGCAGACATTTTGCTCTTGCACTCCATTAACGTTAATCAATATGAAAAGTTACATGTGAGGATCTTAATCTCAGAAATGAGAACATAAGAATGATGCTGTTACCCAAGAAATGTTTTTCATCTGAAGTCACTGCAGCTGGGAAGGCTTACACATTAACTAAACAGTGAGGAAGCAACTATAGAGTCCTGTGTGTTTCTTACTAAAACTGAGAGAGCCGTGTATGTATCCAGTTACAAACTAATTAGGTTTTCAAAGTTTGTTGAAGCAAGAATCTTTGCTTGGAGTTTTCCTATTAAATCTGTAATATTATCAGTGAAATCCATCTGGCAGTGCCTGAGAAAAATGTAAGAACAAACGGGGAAAAAAACCCCAAATCTGAGACACAAGAGGTGAAGAAAAGCATTCCCTTTTGTATTAGCAACATTTTCATTTTCTTGAAAAAAACCCAGCAAAATCATAGGTAAACCATTTATCTGGAGATAAATAGTCTAGTCTCTTGCTTCTTGGAAGTCAGCAGTTGCTAATGTGTTTCTTTCTTCCTGCCAGGTAAGTAAATACATGAGAATAGGAACATACAAGAAGTGGAAATATCCATCAGAGTAATTCTATTTGTTTCAACAATATGTTAGCAAATCAGATACTTTCTACATGAAAAGGCAAAGTGAATAATGTGGTAATATGTATTAACCTAGCCAGTACAGAGTGACTGTAAATACACTGCTTTACAAAAGCCCAAACTCTCACCTTACACACTATGCATATACCCCCCATTTGCACCATAACTCAGAGAAAGTTGGAATAGAAAAAGCCTTTTTCCCTCACAACCCCTAAGATTTCACACAACTTCCAGCAACTCCCTGTACCTCCCACAGCTGCCTATCTAGTCCCCCTTGAAAAACCATACTCCAAAGCCCCTGCCCTCCAGCCCCCCTTCCTTTCTATTGCTACCCTTAATTTTTATTTCCCCTTCTCCACAGAAGATCCCTAGTGACACTGAGGAAAGAAGTGGGGACCAAAAAAAACCCTCCAAACCAGAGTTTTCTTTGAGTTTCTTGTATGCACTCCAGCATTTTAGTTACCGTTCCACATTCCGGGTAGAAGTTGAAGATGAATGTTTCCCAGGACAGTTTACATTACTAAACCTCAACCTTTCTGAAAATTTTAGATCAGCTCATTCTTAAGAAGTCATTTTTAACAGGATGCCATAGAAGTAAATTTTGAGAGACAAATCCTGTAGTTCTTTTTCCATTGTATCTTGTCCAATGAGAATCATATGGTACTATGTGACAGTCAGCCAGAAACAGCTTACTACAAAACAAGCCCCAGGCATTGTTTTGCCACTGGAGTTTGAAAAGTCCTAGAGGGAACCAGTGTATTCTGATGTAATGCATCAGGTTGCCAGCATTAGACCAAAATCAACAAGCAACATCCTTTATTACATTAGACCAGTACAAGTCATGGTTTCAGAATTCTGGAGTTTCTAAACTGTTTACTTACTTTCGTCACTTCCTCAGCCCATATCTAGTCAGCATTAAGAGTGGGGGAAAAAATAAAAACATACAAACTTAGACATCAGTGGTACTTTAATACAGGATGCAAAAATATTTGGTCTTTTCACTACTTTCCTGTCCTAAGAATTTCACAGGGATTTGAGGGAGTGCTATAAGTCAGTTGCCCAAAGCCCTTCACATACAATGAAGCTACGAGTATGGATAGCACTACGTCTGTGAAATAAATTAGATACTGGAGAGTGTATGACTTGCAGAACTTATGTTACAAGAATATATTTAAAACAAGCTATTACAACGTAAGACACCACTACTTAGAAAATGACATGAATCACACAACTAAATTACCTTACGGAGGAATTTAAGTTACCTTAATGTGTTAAAGTATTGGAAAACTACGGAAAGCTATTCTAATTTTAACACCATGTTAAGTAAAGACTGAAACAGACAAATGAATGATTCCTCTTGCTAATTCCATTACCAGTTTCCTATTTCACAAGCATTTTTAATGAAACCTAAATTTAATTAAAAATGCTACAGAGGTATCACAAACCGAGTATTAAAGTAGTAGCAGGTAGTACAGCAAAACCATAGAACTGTAAGGAATTTACTTCAGCTTGCTGTTACAATTCCCCTCTTGCAACACAGTTCTCCCTTAGCCTTCATCTTCTGCAGTTGTAAGAAGATGGCACAATCAGGACTTTGGTAAGAAGAAATGTACATAAAGGTTGCAGAAGCAAGTTGTAACAAACAAGGTTATGCGCTCTTCTATCTGACCACGACTGAGAAATCTGGAACACCAGTTGAGATGAGACCCTCTATGCTGTGCAGATCCAAGACCCAAACAAGGACAGTCTACGGTGAACATAATTAATTAACCCCTTCTTTTTCCACTTTCATAATTACAGTGCTAGAAAAAGGGGCATGGATGAGCCCTTGCAAAAAGTTTAGGATATACTGTAAGTCACTAATTTATGTGGCATTATTTAGTTATTTGGAAAACATCACTTGAAGGGAATAATTTCTACATGTTCCTGGCTATTTCACATAATTCACTCCTACTCATATTTAAAAAGTGGGAGAATGAAATAATGCCTTTCCCTCCAATGGGTGAAATTAATTTCAGAAGTGATAAAAAAATTCAAATCCTTTGCATCCTAATTTTACATTCATAAACTCACAGCTACTAGAATATAATACTGTATACTTCAGATTATCGGAAATATTCTGATAGAAACAACATCTAATGCTGTACTGACATAAGTGTATCTAGTACACTATACCAACCCAGATTGGAATGGAAAACATCTGAAACAAGACCAAATGAGCTGGATAGCAAGAGGAAACATTTGACAGGAAAATGAATGAACACAGGAGGCCAACAAACCTTTAGCCATTTTACATGCAGCAAGTTGAGCACGTAAGAGACATTTACCATAATGTTATTCTCTTCAGGCTGAGAGGTGTTTAGTTGCTTAAGTGCATAGATAAAAGACAAAAGCAAGTCACAACACCGTGAATATAGCAAGTGAACAGATTACTGGCACAAAGCACTGCAAATTTAAGCTAGAGCAAGACTGTGAACTGAATACAGATAAAACTGTTTAGATTTCTATTTTAAATACTGATCTAAGCTACTGCAGTTATACAGTAAGCAGAGAAGTAATTTCATAAAAGATTAAATACTCTTATAACAGAAAAAATAATCATAGGTGCACTTTATCATGCCAAAGACAGAGAAGCATAGAAGTTTGCATCATAACAATACACTTTGCTAACATATCAGCTCAGCACTGTTTGCCAGATATCTTCCTTCATAAATAAGTGAGCCAGCAGAAGAGGAATCATTTGCATCACACCTATATCCAGGTTAGTCCTCATTTTAGTATCTCAGAGGATAGAGATGCAATTTTTTCAATTCTCTGGGAATTCTACAATCCAATATTACTTAAGCATGCACACTGCTGTTAAAACATAATTAAAACTGAAATATAAGCAAGGTAGTGAAGTCAGAGGCCTAGTGCTTTACAGTCTACTCGCATTAAATTATTTGTGAATAAAACTGTGAATTACTTGCTATATGAATATTTAAGATTGATCAAGTAGTAGCAGCAGCAACTGGCAATAATTTTGTCTAAGCACCAAGCTTGGGATGACTACACAGGTGATGGAACTAAAACTCAATTACAGAACCTTTCTTTTAATACTAAGTTCAAGGGGAACAATTTCCTTATGGTCCTTCTATTGTTTTAGAAAGTTAAGGTATACACCTGCTACCACACCACAAGGAAGTTAATAACCAAAATACTTTTTTTTTTTTTTAAACTTAACTCTGAACAAATCCAAGCAAAGGAATAGTTTACTATCCATTATTTCACTATCCATTGCTTCCAATTCCCACTACTAGCTGACTACAATGCTGCTCTGCTCTCCACTGTTAGTCTTACAAATTAAGAAAGATTGACAAGTAGAGAAGTAACTTTTTTGCATAAAATCTATGTAATATAAGGGGAAATGCATGGACTTAAGAAATGCAGGCAACTTCAATACACATGGACAGTGTGCATGACATGGAGGACTGAGACACAGAAGCAGAACTGTCAGTTAGAGATTATGTTAGTTTTTTAGAAGGAATACCATCCCAAAGATGCAAGGTGCTTCACCTACGAAGCTCAGTCTCAGAGATGATGCTTCTGGGATCTTTCAGGACAGCAATCTATTTGGAAAAGCCAGCAAAATCTGACAGTCCTGCTTCTGCCTCTTTATTATGTATGCTGTCCCTGTGTACTTAAATTGTCTGTATCCCTTCAGCATCTGTGTGCACGACCCCTGCTGCATTAACCCTCACAGGAAAAACCATTTCACTACCCACCATTAACTGCTGCACCTTTAGGAATGCAGTCAAAAGATACCTATGAAAATACTACAAGCATACCCTGATGAAATTGCATACATTCAGTTACCTATTCATCTATTTATAGGCATTTTAAGAGTTTAAAAAGCAAAAGCTTTTTAGTTTATAGTAATTTTAATCTCCTTGAACAATCATTTCTTGAGGGAATAAGAATGATTAAGAAATGTGAGTTTAAGAGTCTTGCCCTGTTTGGTGGTATGAAGTAGTAAACAATAGAGAAAGAGTAAACTACAAATATTTTTGATATAGGGAAGTTAAGTCTAGATAGGTTCATCAGCTGGAAGGAATTACAGACATGCTTCGACACTTGTAGAGATTCAAAAGCCAAAACTTGACCTCTGAATGACATGCATTTACAACCATCTTGGCAGATTGTAGCAAGTCATTTTTGGCAGTATAGGCTCATCTGGTATAGAACAAAGGGAAAATACTTAGGTCAAGTTTAACTTGATAGAATATCTAAAAATAGAAGACTAACACCTTGATCAGCAATTTGCTTTCCTTTCTTTGTGTTCCACTGAGGCATTTCTTACAAAGTAATAATAGTGCGGGGAAGAAGCTAGGACTGGAAACATAACCAAGCAGTCAAATTCATAAATATATATCAATAAGTGTGAAAGTTATGGGCAAATTAAAAAAAATTCTACTTACTGCTGCTCGAGCTTCTGCAACTTTTGCCTTCTTCAATCTGGTTTTTGCTGCATCCAAATCTAGTCTCTTATTTTGTAATAGTCTACGTTCTTTCTGAAAGTGAGTCAGGTTGGTTTATGAGAATAGGTGAACATACTCAGAAGCAAAAGCCTGTCTACTTGAATTTTTTTTAATAAAGTATCACATACAAAAAGGTCCTTCAGCTGAACAGAGAGGCAGAATTAGATCCTAATTATTCTCACACATTTTGTACTCAAGGCACAAACTTTTAATAGAACAATAGCTACAAAAAGCAAGTTTTCGAATTATTTTAATTTTACCAGGTCAAAAGGAAGGAAAATACACCAAAGGCACAAATTCTATCTGACTTTTTCGACATTAGTTTGAGGAAAGCGGTAATGCACAATTATCTACTACTTAATTTTGAAGATTTACAGTTACAATTGCTGTGAAATGCTGAAGAATGCACAATTCAACTCACAGCAATAGTTTTGTAGTCTCCTTCAATAAAGTTTCTTAGGGGAGTGAGAAAGTTTATAGCAGAAGTTTGAATCAGTTCTCTGTCTGCTGTCCCAATTCGCTTTTGTGTTTCTCCACATTTAATGAGTGCATTTCCTGCAAAGGAAAAAAAAAAAAAGTTAGTTTCACTGTGATTCAGGCAAGTGACTAACAAAAGAAGTTTCTACAAGCAGAAAAGTTTAAGCCAGCAGTTTGAAAGATAATCCAATGCCATCACAAGGGATTTCAAGAGAAATCCGAATCAGCTAAAAAACAAAACAAAACCCACACACACCAAAAAAACCCAACCACCCAAAACAAACCAACCCACGCACCAAATCAAATCATTTTTTTAATAACAGTCACAGGTCAAGGCAAGATTTCAACGAGAATAGATACAGCATTGTAGAGTGGCTCTAACTATGGCAACTCCATTATGAACACTTTTTAGAACTGGATATCATACCTACTTATTTCAACGCAACAACCTCCTCCTCTTATACCATATTTTTGTTTAAGTCAGAAGTAGTTGGTAGCAAGGAAAAAGCTCACGTAACGACTGGAAAATAACATGTTTTCCCTTCCTGCACCAACTCCAACTTCTAAATATGCATTTGTACATTAAGTGAACAATACTTTGAAATTTGTTGCGAGTTAGGTATTGAAGCTGAAGTTAATAATAATAACTATATTCTTGATACACCATGTTTCAACAGACTGACCTGGCTGAGTTAGAAAACACACTAAGTTTTCATTTTTATTCTTGATGCTGTTTCTAGGCATATGTAACACCACATGAAAGCTAACAGTGTATCTCTTTATGCTAATAGTTTATGTTACTTGCCTGAATTCTGAAAATTCTGCAAGTTAAGGGACAGTATGCCTGTTAAGTACAACTATTCGATGTTAAAAAGCAAGACTTGAGACTGATGATCAGAAGGAAGGTCACAGATAACAGCATAAAACCATGTGGAAGTAAGAGGAACAAAGCCTGCCATTATTGATCTTGTATCCATAAGTCTTCTATAGAAGTTACTTTTTTTTTTTTTTAATTGCACTTTCCTTCTTTTGAAAAGGAACCCCATTATTTCCAGATATAAATAATTCATTCATCTCAGAACAAACTTTTTCCCCTCACACTGCAATTTTGAAGAAAAGAACTAAAGACAGCTATCAGACTTTGAATGCAGACTATATTTTATATACAGACACCTATATATTTCAGTTGGTTAGGTTAAATTAACAGCTAAATCTGTTATCAGCAACTTTAAGAGTTGTAGAGAACGTTAGAATTAGACTTTATAATTAATGCCAGTGTAAAAACATTAGATATAACACCCCTAACCCTCCTGTCTAGGGTATACCAATTTGCTGGAGAAAAAACGAAAATTTAGATTATGTTCTACACTCTCATCTTTAGCAAAATATTATATACTAAGAAAAGCAGGAATACAGTAAAGTTAGAGAGGCTTCTTACTATAGAAGTTAACTTCAGATAACATTTTCATACCACAAATAAAACGCATAAGTGTTATTAGATGCGCAAATGTGTTACTTTAACAAGAAACTAAAAGTCCAGAATTATTTGTTTCACTAAGAAAATCCACAAAGACAATTATCACTCCAACAGCAGATTCTATTTCTAGACTTGAATAGAAACCTCATCATTGATCTCCTAATGCTCAAAGTTATACCGCAAGTCATCTCAAACTGATACAAAACTCATTGAAGTGCTTTATCTAGAGGAAGACACAAAATACCGTTTTACAATGTTAAGAAAAACTAGATCTGTGCATTTTTCGCCCTTCATTTCTGCAATAAAAGACATATTTTTTGCTTCTACTTACCATAGGCTGTTCCTGGGCCAAATTCATTCCCAGCATCAATCATATACTGGCCTAGTAACTCTGGATTATTCATGCGACTTGGTGCTTTGCGGTCCAGCTTCTCATAGACAAATTCTTCTATTCTGGCATCTAAAAAAAATGTTTATTCTAAATAATTACTGTCATTCAAAACACCAGTTAGAAACACAAGCAAAAAGAAAAAATAATTTCAAAATCCAGACATTAAACTCAATATTAAGTGAACAATGTTAAGCTGAAGATACTGTTCTTGGAAACTGACTGACTGTATTCCATGTTTGTCATGTTCAAGTGTTTCTTAGGGCCATCTGTGAAATGGAAAAATGACACTTCTCCTCTCCCTTCTATCAGCATATTTATACAGTTTTTCAAAATTTTGTCCAGAAGTCTTCACTGTAAGAGCATAACAGAACATGTCTTCTTAACAAAACCAAACAGTCTCTTTTCCCTCTCTAGGAAAATATTGTTTAAATTGTTCACTAGGATCAGCAGTGTAGGAATTAAGTTGAACAACTGCTGTAGGTTCCCTATTAAGATATTCTGAAAGTTTGGCAGCCCCAGAAAATACATCCTCTTTCCCACTCCACCCGCTTCCTTGAAACGCTCTGAAACAAACCGCTAAAGATACTAGAAAGTGTTTAATTTTGTATGCCCATCTTTCCTTAGCTTGAACAACAAAATTATCAAAAAAATATGACTATATGATCACAAATATCCAGCTATCATAATATTAAGCCACAGTATGGTTCTTAGGTGAAAAAGCCTCACAGACATAAACAAGGACACTGTTGATTAAAATAGCAAACTCCTTAGATACACCACCAGATTTCTTTGACCAATTGTTTTGACTTCATAATCAGCTCTCTTTATTTATGCAGTCAGTATGAACTAATTTCAGCCTGCAATAGTAGGGACAAGCACAAAGATGCTCTGCAGTGAACAAACCTGCCACTTTGATGCAACCAAAAACAATACCATTCATAAGACAACTTTCATCAGCACTGGATTAAATAACTACTTTCTCATGAAGGTCACAAAAATTAACCTGACACAGACAAACATGGGTACCAGTGCATTCCCCAGTACCAAGGGTGAAACAAAAATGATCCAAATTAATTGTTTTTCTTTACTGTATCCATAATATTTATTTTCTAATAAATAACAAAAGAACTGAAAAGCAATCTAAAATTAATGGACTATTACATGTGTCTGACTTAAAGGCACAATTAAAAATGTGATTGAAAGGAGCTTTTCCTCCCCCAGACAGGGTTGCTCCATTAACAACCAAAAGAAGCTCTCTACAGCATGGGATAGTCCTCCCAAGTAGGCTGCCAAACAGCTGAAGTTACAATCACAAATGAAGACCACTGCTTAATGCCAAGTATTTTTAGCCATCAGAAAACTGACTGGTCAGCACAACTGAGATACAACCACGTATCCTTCTACCGAATCTTCCTCGTGCAGTTCTACCAGCCTGCAGTTAGTGATTCAACAGTCTACAAGTTTCTGAAAAAAAGTTAATACACATTACAAATACTGAACTAAATGAACAAGACATCTATTTCCTCTGGCCTATTCTATAAATTCTATTGCATCCTTCCCACAGGATTAGTTGTTCTGGGCTTTATCTTTGGTTTTTAAATACCACTTTTATGCAACTGAAGGATGCAACAGGCTTCCAAAATAATACTTCTAAGATCAGCATTATAAAGAATTTATCTATTTGGCATTAGAGAAGTTCTATCAGTGTATGAATTACCTGTACTAATAAATCCTAACTCACTATGTCACTACAAGAAGAATATTTATGTTTTCAGTGCAGAGCTATTAGAGGTATCACAGCTGTATCATTTGAGCAAACCTAAAGGAGGTTTAAATTCTTTGTTGTAATAGTAGTTCGCCCAGTGGCTAGCAACCAGGTCTTGACTTGAAATCTAGCTGTATACACTAAGCAAATTTGTATAGCTGCCAACTCTAGTACAACTGCCATGAATGGCACAGAAAACTGTAAGATATGATTCTGAAACTGATATCCTCAACAGTACCATTCATAGCAGTAATTTTAGAAACAAATAAAATTAACACACCACAAAACTACATTTCTTCTACTTATGTTTTTTCAGTTATTTTTATAGTAAAAGATTTGCCACTGATTAAAGCATATTTGAAACTTTATTGTATTGCCTAAGTATGGTATACAAAATGCTGGAAAATGATAAAGACTCGGCATCTAGAGAAAATAATTCTTTAGTAAAGGAATTGTTAAAGACAGACAGTTCATGCTGCCTGCTTCAAGCAGAACTGTAGTATGCAGACAGTTTAAAGTAATGAAAGAAATAGCAATGAAATTTCTTGAGCCCTTACTCCATGAAGAACTTCAGAGTTCTTACAGCTACCTAAGATTTCTGGAATTAGGGTGGGAAATTCAATTAAACAGGAAACAACTCAAAAAACAGTCAACCTGAGACTGACCAGGGTATAGAATCAATGCTATAGTTTAAAGACCTCTCTCTAACGCTTTTCCCATTTGAAGGGTTAAGGAAGTATCAGCAATTGGTACAGTGTCTAAGTAGCTCTTCAAAATGTGCTTT